GGGTGGGGTAGTGGGTGGGTGGGTGGCTGGATGGATGGGTGATTGGGTGGACGTGGAATTGGTGGGTACCTGATAATGGGGTGGAATAGCCATGGATTGGAATGAGCTGTTTTAGCTGCCATTTCTGGGACACTCAGCTCTGCCAGGCCCCTACCCCTCTGATGGGCCAGGCTCTGACGGTGGCCACTCACGGCCTTCCCAGCTCTGGTGCCAGCACAGGGAAGGTGGGGGCACAGCCTCATCTTCCTCCTTGCACCTGTCAGGCCCCCCCAAGGCAGGACCCGTGGTTGGGGACAGCACAGGGCCCTGCTGGGTGCAGAGACTGTCCCTGTGGCCACTGAAGCCTACCTGTCCTTGTTCCTTCTCAGGCGGATCCTGGTCCCCCTGGTGAGCCAGGCCCTCGGGGGCCAAGAGGAGTCCCAGGACCCGAGGTAGGTGGCTGGCCAGTCCCCGTGCCCTCCAGACCTCAGCCCCTGGCCTGCCTTGCCAACATGCACCCAAGCCTCATGGTTCCACCCATGGTGGACCCACGCTTCAGTGGACAGTGGCCTGGGAGTGATTTGGCCGCTCAGCCTTGGCCCCGGCGTCTCAGCCTCATCCTTCCCTCCCCAGGGTGAGCCTGGACCCCCTGGAGACCCCGGCCTGACGGTAGGTGTCACATGGGGCAGAACCAGTGTCCTTCTCCTGCCAAAACTAGAAACCAAGAGCAGCGGGGCGGGGGGAGGTCAGAGGGCAAGGTCAGTGGAGGAGGTCAGAGGGCAAGCTTGGTTGGGGGAGGTCACAGGGCAAGGTTGGTGGGAGGAAGAGGGCGGCAGCGAGGTTGGCAGGGACAGGACGCGACCAGCCTCGCCACGCGGGCCAGGACCTTGCTGTGGAAGCTCCTCTGGGGCGGGGGGGACTGCCCTGCCCTGCCCTGCCTGACGCGTGCATTGCAGGAGTGTGACGTCATGACCTACGTGAGGGAGACCTGCGGGTGCTGCGGTGAGTACTGCCCACGGTGGGGTCGGGGCCCACGTGCCGGGTGGAGGGCGGGCAGGGCTGGGTCATCGCTGGGTCCCGCATGTGCGTCTGGCCCTGGGGTCTGAGGTCTCCCCGGTGCCCCCCGCTGACCCTGCCACCCCCCAGACTGCGAGAAGCGCTGTGGCGCCCTGGACGTGGTCTTCGTCATCGACAGCTCCGAGAGCATTGGGTACACCAACTTCACGCTGGAGAAGAACTTCGTCATCAACGTGGTCAACAGGCTGGGCGCCATCGCTAAGGACCCCAAGTCTGAGACAGGTCAGCGCGGCAGGGGCGGGCGCAAGCACGGCAGAGGGGCCGGGCGGGGCGTGGGAGGCGACGGGACAGGAGAAGTCCAGACATGTCCCTCCAACGAGGGCTCTGCACGGCCGGGGACGCCCCAGCCCCCGAGGCCTCCGGCGACGCCCTCGCGTGCGGCTCACAGGGACGCGCGTGGGCGTGGTGCAGTACAGCCACGAGGGCACCTTCGAGGCCATCCAGCTGGACGACGAACGCATCGACTCCCTGTCGAGCTTCAAGGAGGCCGTCAAGAACCTCGAGTGGATCGCGGGCGGCACCTGGACACCCTCAGCCCTCAAGTTTGCCTATGACCGCCTCATCAAGGAGAGCCGGCGCCAGAAAACACGTGTGTTTGCGGTGGTCATCACGGACGGGCGCCACGACCCTCGGGATGATGACCTCAACCTGCGGGCGCTGTGTGACCGCGACGTCACAGTGACGGCCATCGGCATTGGGGACATGTTCCACGAGAAGCACGAGAGCGAGAACCTGTACTCCATAGCCTGCGACAAGCCACAGCAGGTGCGCAACATGACGCTGTTCTCCGACCTGGTGGCTGAGAAGTTCATTGACGACATGGAGGACGTCCTCTGCCCGGGTGAGCGTGCAGGCGTGGGGCAGTCGGCCGAGGAGCAGCAGGCCCCAGCCGCTGTCTAGCGCCGGCCCCAGGGACACCCCTCACCCGAGGGACAAATGTGCAGCCCAGGACACTGGGCTTGGATGGGAAGGAGTCGGTTCCTCTCAGGGCTGCATGGCAGAGGCCAGCTGCACCCTGAGCCTGTCTGGGCAGATCAGTGGGCGGCCACTGAGGGCTCGCTAGGGATTGACCCTGGCCCGGCCTCTCTCTTCTCTTCCAGACCCTCAGATCGTGTGCCCAGACCTTCCCTGCCAAACAGGTAATGCAGGGCACCCCGAGCCCCCAACCCCAGACTAGGAGAGCAGCCCTGGTGTCCTTTCTCCTCGAGGGCCGGGCTAGGGGAGGGGCCGTGCAGGGACCCAGCGGGCAGCGAAGCCACAGAGGCTGCTCCTTAGTGAGATGTCCCCGGGACAGCAGGACGGCAGCGTAGGAGAGGAGGGGCTCGGGGAGGGCAGGCTCCCGGGAATGCAGGAACCGCATCGTCAGGCCATGGGGCGGGTGCTGCTGGCCTGGCTCTGTGCTTAGTGTGTGGCCACTTATCTTGAAGGTCCATGAGACCTTGCAGTCTCCCTCATTGCTGCCCAACTCCCATGGGTTGGCCATGCCTGTGCCACTCGGAGGAAGCCCTGGATTCAGTGAGTGAAACCAACCCAGGGCAGAGGCACTGACACCCACCAGCGCCAGCAGGTCTTGCTCCGACCCTGGCCTGCCTCGGAGCTGCGGCCGTGGCTCTCATCTCTGGGAGTGGGGGAGCCTGTGTCCTGGATGTGGCCCACATGGATGTGAAGCTGGAGCTGGGGGTGCCCAAGGCAGAGGTTCTGCCAGTGCCCAGGGCTGGGGGTGCCGTGCAGGCTCTGCTGGACATGGTGCTGCCCCCACAGTGACTGCTGCACCATAACTGGGCCCACAGGAGGTCCCCGGGGGCGTTAGGAGCTGAGTTCCCCTCCGTGAGCCGTCCCCTCCAGGAGTGTCAAGGTGGGGACGCCATGGAGACGGGTGGGAGGGTCCGACCTGGAGGACCACAGGGACGAAAGCTCGGGGTCTGCGGTGCGAAGTCAGCACTTCCTCAGCACTCGGGTCAGGGTGTGCGTTCAGGCGTTCCATGGGGAACTCCCGGGGGGTGCGCTGGGCCACATTCACGGGTCCTGAGGCTGCCCCAGGGAGGAGCAGGGCCATGGACTCGGGGCCAGGGATCCCCACACGTGCTCCGACAGAGAACCTGGAGGTTGCACCTGCGTCTGGCTGCCCTTCAGCAGGTAGGCAGCCTCTGGTCCCACAACACAGTGGGCTGTGCCTCTGCTGCTGAGGTGTGGGCGTCCCCTCTCAGGGTCTGCCAGGGCCTGCACCAGCACCAGGGGCAGCTGGACCCTGAGGGCAGGAACCAGACCTTGGCCCCTCCACCCAGCCCTTCGTCCCTGATGGGGCAGGGAAGTCTCAGGACCCCATGATGGGCGACACGGCAATGTTCACTGTGGGCGCTTTGCTCTCTACCAGATGGAGGTCTTCCCCTCCCCTCCACCCCGGGGGCCAGCGTGAGTGGGCGCTGCGGCCTCC